GCTGAGGCAGACAGATTGCTTGAACCCTGGGTTTTGAGGACAGCATGGACAACATAATGAGACATGTCAGAGGAAAAAAGGCGACAGAGAGAGAGAGAGAGAGAGAGAGAGAGAGAGAGAGAGAGACAGACAGAGACAGACAGAGACAGACACAGAGAGAGAGAGAGGGGAGATGGGAGAGAGAGACACAGAGAGAGATAGGAGAGGACAAAGAGAGACAGAAAGAGACATAGAAAGACAGAGAAGGGAGACACACACAGAGGAGAGACAGAGCAGAGAGAGAGAGAGGAGAGAAGCAGAGAGAGAAGAGAAAGGGAAGAGGGGAAAGAGAGGAGAGGGGAGAGAAAGTAGAAAAAGAGAGCGAGCGAGCGAGCTAGCGCGCACGCTTGGCACTAAGCTCGGGCCCCTCATCCCTTGGCGTCCTCTTCCTTTGCCCCATCCCTCTGGGGTCGTGTTTTCCTGGGCCCGCGCTGGCCGTGGGAAGATTACTGGTCCTTGGCTCCTGCAGGGGAGTCAGGTGGGCTGAGCGCACCTCAGGACTCAAGGCTTAGCCAGGGCTTCTGGCGTGGAAGGCACCACTGCCTGTGTGTTGATGGGGAGACGGAGCACTTTTCCTTGCTTCCTGGAGGCATAACCCCGGGTCCCGAGGCTCCCTGGGACTCAGAAACCTTGTGTAATCGGGATAATGTGTGACAAATGTAATAATACAGCCACAGCATTTGGGAGAGACAGTAATACCTACCTCGAAGGGAAGGGGAAAGACTGAAAATACTTTGTAAAGTTGCTTTGTGAGCCATCAAGGACGTTACAACTACGGGGTTATGTGGGAAATTCCCAAAGTCTAAATATATAATTTAAAAAATTTCTCTAAATGGTAAAAGAAAGCCCCTTTGCAAGTAGGAATGTACAGAGTGGTGCTTTCCAGGTAAGCAGGAGATTACAGCGTGTGTCTCCTCCCTCTCCCTTCCTCCTTCCCTCCCTCCTTCCTTTCCCCTTCCCCTCCTCCCTCCCTTCCTTCTTTTCCTTACTTCCTTCTTTCCTCCCTCCCCTCTCTCCCTCCTTTGTTTCCTTTCTTCTTTCCTTTTCCCCCTCTCTTCCTCCCTCTCTCTCCCTCCGTCTCTCCCTTCCTTCCTTCCTTCTTTCCCCTCCCTCCCTCCTTCTCTCCCTCCCTCTCCCTCTCTCCCCCTCCCTCCCTCCCTTCCTTCTTTCCTCCTCCTCCTCCTCCCCCCCCCTCCTTCCTTCCTTCCTTCCTTCCTTCCTTCCTTCCTTCCTTCCTTCCTTCCTTTCTTCCTTCCTTCCTTCCTTCCTTCCTTCCTTCCTTCCTTCCTTCCTTCCTTTTTTCCTTCCTTCCTTCTTTCCCTTTCTTCCCCTTCCCCTGCTGTAAATTACAGCCAGGACAACCTGAGCCCAAGTGAACAAGCAGGCTGGGCATAGAGCCACGATGCTGAGTGGCTGAGCCAGCGATGGGAACCTTTCAGCGCCGAGCACCCAAACTGCAACCCCAAACCCACTTATTTATCACAAAACGCCAACTGTTCAATGAAGTTGAAAATTGAAGTTTAGAAAAAAGTGATTCACACATTAGCAACTTTTGACTTAAAAACAAATAGCAGCGTGCCATCGGCTGGCCAGCACCCAAGTGTTAAGTTGACAAAGGCATCTTCTGAGGCATAGGGGTCTGGCAGTGAGGGGGTAGGGGCTAAATACCAGCAGACAGCCTTTGGTCAAACAGATTTGGGGCCAAATTCTTATCTTTCAAATTTTAACTTGAGATTTAAGATCATTTAATGAATAGCAAGAGAAGTGGCATCGAGGTTGGGCAGAAGTGCGTGACCCTGGCCCCAAGCTGCAAAGCCCTCGCTGGGGCTCCGGGACCAGCCTTGGTGTCAGACCCTGAGCCCCGGGCCTGCCGGCCGCCTCTCTCCCTGCCATGGTCCGCTCCGCTGCACTCTGCTGTCATCTGCAGGCAGAGTGATAGTTGAAGCAACAGGCATCGCATAGTGCTTGGCCCACGCAGACTGTCGCAGACTGTCGCAGACTGCTTCTTCTGGGGACAGACTGCGAAGCCCGACCTGTGCGGGCCTCCAGCAACCCAGGCCTCATTTTCTGCGCTCTGGCACCCTTCAACCCCGCGTGCTCTGCCCCAGGGCCCTTGCACATGCGCCCTCCTCTGCCTGGAATGACTCCCCTCGCCCCAAGTCTGGCCCAAGCTGCTCTCTGCTTCCGCGCTCAGCTCCCCGCCCAAGGACAGGCCAGCCTAGGAGTCTGGGTGCTGCCGGCAGGCGGTGAGGAGCCTCCAGAGGAGCGGCCACATCTGCGAAGCGGGTGACCGGGTCTTTGGAGCCTCCCGGCTTAGCAACCTGCCTGTTCTCTGCTGCTGCAGTAGAGCCCGGACAGGCAGGTGGTAAGGAGGAGGTTTGGTTCTGGAGGCTGGAACACAGGTCTAAGGCTCACGGGCTGCTTCTTCCCATTGCGGAGGGGTTTGGCGTGGGGAGAGGCGAGGAGGGAGGAGAAGGGACTGGGACGGCCTCCCCTGAGAGCCAACCCCTTCTGCACAGCCTCCATGCACCCCTGGGGGTGGAGGTCTTGAGGCCAGGCCCCTGGGTGTGAGGCAGGGGCCCAAGCACACCTGCCCCAGCCCTCTGCAGTTTTTATTTTGAGACAAGGTCTCACGAGGTACCTCAGGCTAGCCTCCAGCTTTTGGTCTTCCTGCCTCAGTCTCCCGAGCACCTGTGCTACTGGTGCGTGCAGACACGCCTCACTCAGACATAGAGTTTTTTAAAAATATAGGCCCACCCCAAGAACCATGCACTGTATTTAATCAATTTATAATCTGTAGTTATAAAGCATCGTGGGGCTGGGGAGATAGCTCAGAAGAATAAACGCTTGCCTGGCAAGCACAGGATCCTGAGTTCAATCCCCGGTACTGAAAAAAAAATAATTCCTGGACACAATATGAAACATCGTCACCAGAAAGGGCTTCAGCCTTTCCCTCGTTTAACAGCTGAGGGAACTGAGGTACAGCACAGTAAGACCCTCAGGCCGAATGTGGCCTGGTCCGGCGGCGCTCCCGCTGTGTGCACTTCCACAGAAGCACCAGAAGAGCTGGACGCCGCAGCGAGCGCTGCTAAACGTCCCTCTAGAGAGCATTCACGTTCCAAAGCAGAGAGGCCCTCGCCTGACTGGTGGCCCCGGGACAGTCGGAAGGCCACGCGCGCAGTGGCGTCCGCCCCGCCCCAGGCCTCGCCCCCTCCCTCCCGCCCCCGGAAGCCCAGGGTTGCACTGAGCGTGCAGGCAGTTCCCTCCGCCTCCTGCAATTTTCCTTAGCCGTGTCTGTCCGGCGCAGTGACAGAGATCAAGGGCGGTTAACACGCCATCGTTCTAATATGTACTCAGCTTCTAAAGAGCGAACCCAGGAAGAAGCAAAAGGCACAATTCAGCTACATGAAGATGAAAATTGAAACTATGAGTGAAAGAGCAGAGCAGAGAAGTACTTCTGTTCACCACACGAGTTCACTTAAATGCAAGAGAAAATCATCAAGCCTTTTAGTACTTACGAAGGGAAGACTTGGAAAGGGGAGCACAGATCATTAAAGCTGCATGGGAAGAAGGCATTACCAGCAGCTAAAGAAATTCCCTTTCAGAGCAGACCAATTAAACTGGCCCCGTAAGGCAGAGGAACTGCTCACCCTTAGGCTTGAATACTAGCTCCCTCTGCAGAGCCGGGAAGGGTGTGCCGGCTGCTCTGGGCCTTCCGCAGCAAGCAGCGTGTGCAGACACCGCTGTGTAAGGCCCCCGCGGACTCAGGACGTGCGGGGCCGCAGGCGCGGCGGGCAGCTCCCCGCGCAGGCCCGCAGTCTGCGCAGTCCTCAGCGGCTGGGGCGTTGGGCCGGCAGCGCGTCTGTAGCCGGAACTGCGCAAAGACCGCTGCATTCTCCTGCCAGTGCTTAGGCGTGCGCACAAAGGGCGCTCAGGGCGGCCCGTGTCTGGGGCAGCCGACTGCTGTGAAATGGAGCCACTCTGGTCCCCAGGAAACCTCACACGGCCAACAACACACTGAGACTGTCCCCTGCAAAGCCGGCGGAGAATGGTGACTGCCACTGCGGGTAGCCAGAGGCAGGCCTTAAGAGCAGGCGAGGGTTTCCATGCTGGGGGCGGGGCAGGAGGCGCACAGATCCGAGGCCAGTTTGGGCACCGAAGCAAGACCTGGACTCGAAATAAAGTAAGACAGGCTGGAGAGGGAGCCTGGTGCTCCCTGGTTCCATCGCCAGCACAAGAAACAAACGAAACGACATGTGGTCTTCCAGAGAATGAATCGTAATAGAAGCGACCAACATTTTCACAGGTTCAAACAATACTGGTCTAATTATGTTTACTCTGAACCCTGATAATTCTCAATATAATAGTTACTAAATCTAAATAAATTTTAGTGCTAGGCAGCTGAAAGAGAAAGATGGAAGGCAGACTCTCCACCCTCTAAACCTGTGTCTGCTGCAGCTACCCCTCTTTCCCTGAAAGTAGCACCTAGCTGGAAAGTGCTCAGCCCTGAACACTGGAGGCCAGGCAGCGTGCCCGCCAGCGTCCGTGGCCTCCCGACTCTTGCTTGGTGGCTGTCACTGTGGCCACTGAACGGCTGAGCTGGGTTTGCTTTGAATTAGGACTGAAGTGTTAAGTACTCACTGGACTTTGACGCTTTGGAGTAAAGGATGAAATATCTTCTGAACGCTCTATGCTATTTGCATATGGACATAATATTTTACGTATTAATACTGCAATATTAAATATAATGTATTAGTTACACCTTAAAATTATTTTTGCCCATTTCTTTTTAACGAGTGGCCGGCCGAGAAGCTCCAGGACACCTCTGTGGGACACTGCGGTGCAGGGCAGTGCGGAGAAGTCCTCCTGCCCGTGCTGCATAAATGACAGCATCTTTGGCTTTTTTATTCCAGCAAGCCTCATCTTCACTAATATAAAACATCTTATGTGTTCTCTCTTAGGAAAACGGCTTTGTAAGGAAGTTTGAGCCCAAGTCCGGCTGGCTGACCTTTGTGGGAGTGATGGGACAGATCTGTGCAGTGCTGTCTCTCCTGAAGCAGTTCTACTGACCAGAGTGGACGCTGCTGGGAGGGAGCCACGCTGCACAGGCTCCTTCTTCCTCAGACAAAGCCAGGCCCTGCTGATGTTACCTCACTTTCCAAAATCATGGAATTTTGTCTCTATTTTAATGAATAAATTGTCTCTGTTTGTGGTATGTGTCTTGATTTGAAATCTGCCTGGAACTTCAGTGGACAGGGCATGCACAGGAGCCCAGCAGGTGTTGGACTGAGGGCTGGTGACCAGAAGGCGGCGAGAGCGTTCCCAGCACGCCGCAGATGCTGTGCGCCGCTGGGCCATAGCATGCAGGTGGAGGGAGGCCTGTGGCCCACAGCTCCTGGGGTGGGCCCTGAGCACCCTGCCCCAGCTGCCAGAGTTGCGTGCCACTGCCTTCCTTGCCACCCACGCTGCATTCTCTGCCTGTTGTTTGGGGCTGAAGGACACAGCTCCCGGCTCTGCAGTGTTGGGGCTCAGAAATGAGACGCCAGAGCCAAAGTCTCAGAAGCAGCGTTTCTGTCTGACCTATCCTGCCCTGCTGCACCTTTCTCTCACCAGGTGAGGCACAGAAGCTAGACTTCCTCTTCCCCAAGGCTGGCCGAAGATACCAGGACTCGCCTGCGCAAAGCCACATGGGAAGCCCAGGAGGAGTGCTCTAACCTGCCTCCACCTTTGGTGTGAGAGTTGGCTGTAAAGAAACTCTCTGGCTTGGCCTATCTGACCGCAAGGCCTAAGATCCCCGGCCCGGAAGGGTCTTGTGGGACCCCAGAAGGACAGAAAGCCACACAGAGAGGCTGCAGTGCAGCAGGTGCATGCAAATCATGGAGTAGCCAAGCTCCCTCCATTGGCCGCTTGGGCTTTGGGTTTCGGTGGCTCTGGCCTCCCACGTGGCTCCACACCCCATCTGGCCTTGTGCACCTGGGAGGGAGATTTCAGGTGGGAGTGGCTGTCCCCACTCAGTGTGGCTCTTGACAGTGGGAAGGGACAGGGCTGAGGGGGCAGGAAGGGTCTGCGGCCAGGGAAGCTTTGGCTCATTCTGAAATCACAGCTGCGAGGTCACTGCTCTGGGGCAGGGGTGTCCACGGGAGGGAGCAGGGGAAGATTCCCATTTGCTCACACCCGCTCCTCCAGGGGCCTTGCCTGCTCCTGGCTGCTTTCGGTGGTAGCTCTTTTACTCAGAGCTGCATGACAGGGATGACCAGTTACAGGCAGATACAGCAGGAAGGACGAGGCCACTACCTGGAACGCACTTACACAAGAAGCCACAAAATCTGAGTGTACCCCATGGTCACCTCTTCAGCTACATGATGTTGGGAAATTGGTGACTTCTGGTTTGGTGTGCAGCTCAGTCTTGAAGCCAGACCTGGTACAACCACTATGGAAATCAGTGTGCAGATTTCTTTGAAAACCAGAATTAGAAGTTCCATTCAAGTCAGCTACTGCCCTCCTGGGTATTTTTCCAGAAGTGCTGGATCATAGGTGTGTGCTACCAAGCCTGGCTGAGGCCCTTATATCTGTCTCCCCAACAGATAGCAGGAATCATGGCTGGGCTGGTTTACTGATTCCCAGGGTCCAGCTCCCATTCTGGCAGGAGCTCAGGCACCAGCTGTTTAAGGGAACAGAGGCGAATGAGATCTCTTAGTTTTGGAGAAGGTCATTCACAAGGCTCAGGTGAGTGACAGCATTCTCAGCATGCAGCACCGGGAGGTGTGGTGGTGGCGGGCTGCCTTCCGCCTGCCAGAAACCTTGTTTAGGGAGGGGGGGCTTGAAGCTGGGCCTTACCTGGCTGAGGAGCTTAGGTGCCCGTGTTGTTCAGCTCATTGTCCTGGTGGCCACCTGCAGTAGACGTCCTCCACCTCCTGTTGTTGCATAAATGGGCTGAATACCTGGAGCAGCTCCATGTGCCAAGTCCCAGAGTTGGCCAAGTAGGCAGAAGTGGCCTGGGCCTCCCAAGCCCTTGGAGGGCCCAGCTGGCCCTCACCCCGCCTCCTTCTGCTCTGGCCACTTCCTCTGGCTGCACCATGCCACCTGCTCCCTGTCCTCTGTTCCTGCTCCTTCCATGGGCAAGAGCTACCTGTGAAGTTAGCTCTGTGGGGACCCTGCTGGCCAGGTGGGTGTCCTTGGGCTCCTTGTGTGGAGAACCAGGGGGACAGATCCCTCAAAAGAGGACAACTTGTTCCACTGTGGCTCCCCTTTGCCCAACTTCTATGTACTGATACACTCAGAGCTGGCTGAGAATGCTTCTGCAATTGGAGATGCAAATGGTCCAGCCGAGGAGCTGGTGCACAGCCATTGAAGCAAGGGGACAGGTCAGTGAGGGCCGCCTGCAGCTCCCTGCTGGTGGGCTGAGAAGCCATGCTGTTAGCCAGGACTGCGCCTGGAGGAAGAGGCTGTGACACCCCAGGGCAGGAAGGCCAGGCCTCAGGGCTGAGATGACCCCAAACACAGGAGGCCTTCTCAAGCTGTTTGTGCAGATTCCTCCAGACTTAGAGGCTGCTGTCAGGGATCCGGTACTCTTTCTGTACACCTCTCCCTACATACTGGAGAGATGAGTTCAGGCCTCCTACCTGGCAGGCTCACGCACTTCCTGCCATTCTTGTAGTCACTCAACCCGGAGCTACCCCCTCTTCACGCATGAATAAACAGACTTGGGTCAAGGCCTTTGTCCTTTGTTCTGGTTAGCCATTGTGCCAACAGTTTGAGTGACAAGGAGTAGGGAGCCAGAGCCAGACCTGTCTCAGTC